GTTATTTCTTTTTGTTTTTGTTATTTCTTTTTGTTTTTTTATTTCTTTTTGTTTTTTATTTCTTTTTGTTTTTTTATTTCTTTTTGTTTTTTGAAAAACACTGTTCTGTTCCACTTTTATTTTTTGCTTAATTCTATTAATGAATTCATTTTCTCTTCAAGGACGATCTCTCAAATTGTTCGGAACTTGGCCCAAAGCTCTACATTTGGGGAACGCGTATCTGTGTTTTTGATGTACAACGCGCATTTCGCACTTTTATCAACGAATTTAGACCGGCAAGCGTTTCAGATGATGAAAATATGCTGACACTGCTATCAAATGTGAGAATGGGTAAGTTGAAACAAATCCGTAATAATAGAGTGAGAATTCCATTTCTGAAATAAGAAAAGGATCAAATGCATAAATTTATGTGAATAATGTGGAATTTTTTTAACTAGCTTTTCAGAATTGATTAAGAGTCTCTTATTTTTACAAATAAGTTTTTGAAGTCTGTAATATGACAATGACATTTCCAGCACTCACTTTAAATTTAAATAAATGAAATTGAGTGGCTTGACAATGTGTACAATGTGTACAATAGCAAACACAAAGTTGATTTATTTCCAGAAATTGATTTGGAACGACCGTACTATTTGGAACGCTTGTATGAAATTGATCAGAGTGAGAACATAGCTTTCAATTTGAATTTACAACATGTTAGACTATTCAACGAAGCGCTTTATCGAAAAATTGTGTGTTATCCATCGGTAAGTAAGTTTTGAACTTGTTATTCATAGCAACGAATTTAGCAGGAAAACTACTGTTAACCAATGATATAAGAAAATTCCTTATATCATTTGTTAACAGTAGTTTTCCTGCTAAATTCTTTGCTATCAATAATAAGTTGTAAGTCGCAAGCTGTTATGATGTGAAACAACAAATTACATTATATCGAGAGATGATCTACATTGCTACTAGCATCATCACTTTTAGTACATCGATTTTGTTTCTGAAACCTTCCTCGCATTTTTCACTTATTTTAAACTTATTAAACTACTGTAAGTTTAAGGACATTATACCGTATCTTGATCTGACGATAAATGAAATATTTTCCGAGAAATATCAAAAGGTATTATATGCTCCAATTGAAGTTCGGCCATTTAATGCACAGAAAACGCGTAACATGCGTGCACTTAATCCACAGGATATCGATCAATTAATCACTATTAGTGGTATGGTTATACGAACTTCACCATTGATCCCTGAGATGAGACAAGCATATTTCCGATGCACTGTTTGCAATTTTCCGGTAATTTCTATCTGATTTATCATTGAAATTAAGATTACTTAAAAGCTTCTGTTTATTTCTACTTTTTTGACAGTGTTCAAATCCGGCTCACAGTTTTTAAATTTTAAAGGATAAAAAAGGAGTTTTTATATTTTAAAGATCTTAAAATTTCCCTTTGATTTTTTTATAGAGCTTGAGTATTTTCAGGTTGATGTTGAAGTAGATCGTGGTCGAATTGAAGAACCAGCCGTGTGTCATAACTGTCAGTCGAAATATTCTTTCCAGCTTATCCACAATCGTTCTCTTTTTATGGATAAGCAAATAATTAAACTGCAAGAATCTCCAGGTGCACTGCTGGATTAAAATTCATAAATTTTCCTTTGTAAACTGTTAATTTGCAAATCTTAAAAATTTCTTTTTTGAAGTGGATGCCTGTTTGTACTTTCTCCAAAAAGCGTTATACTGATTTTTTTTAATGAACAATTTTCATTCTGTAATTTAATTTTCTATTCTGCTTAAAACTCGATTTTGAAAACTTTGTTACTATGCGCGAGTTTATTTTTAGATGATATGCCTGCCGGCCAAACGCCATATACAGTAACATTGCTTGCACACGGTGATATGGTAGAGCGTGTTCAACCCGGTGATCGTGTAGCTGTAACAGGGATTTACCGTGCCGTACCAGCACGTATAAATCCACGCATGCGAAACGTTAATTCCGTTTACCGTACCAGCATCGATGTATTACACTTTCGAAAGACTGATCAGAGTCGATTACATCAAATCGATGACGGGTAACCGATCATTTTCCATGAATACAAGAAAATCCAGTAATCATTCATAATTTGGATATTATTTTCACTTATTAGAACGTTTGTAAAGCTTAAATCATTAAAATATATTTTTAAATCTTTTTATCAGAACTCATTTAACGGATGAAAGAGTTTCCATGATCATGAATTTGGCGAAGCGAGCCGATATTGTTAATCGATTGACAAATGCTGTGGGTAAGAAAACTCCTATTCTTGTTAATATATCTTTTTGTATTTCTGCACCTAATGTTTCTTTTCATAAATTAGTGGAGCTTTTGTTTAATTTTTTTTTTGCAACATATCATGATTTAGTTTATGTCTTATTATCAGTGTCTCACATCTAGTGCATAAGGTGCTTAGATCACTGTGAAACTCGCAACATCAGAGATTCTTATTTACTTCCCTTTTCCATCTGGAAAAATCCAGAAACTGTTCAATTAAAAAGCAAAAGAATGCCAAAATAAAGGACGTTAAATGAGTGAGGTAATCTTTTATTTGTTATAAAAGTTTTTAACCAATATTGTTTGAGCTCCTTCAATCTACGGCCATGAGGATATTAAACGAGGCATTCTTTGTTTATTGTTCGGTGGTACCAACAAGGAAGATAGAACAGGTAACAAAATTAAGCTACGAAGTGAAATAAACATATTGCTCTGCGGAGATCCTGGCACCAGTAAAAGTCAGCTTTTACAAGTAAGTTTTACTGCAGTTCATTAAGAATACGGTCACTAATGATTTGTGCGGATCGAAATATTAAGTTTTCTATTATTTCTTAATTTTCCTTAACTCATATTAAATGTGTTTTTTCTTTTTATTGGGAATACGTTTATTTCACTTAAAACAGTAGATAAAATATAATGTATTAGCTATAGTAAAAACACGAATGACAAATTTCAGTATGTGTATCGACTTGTGCCGCGCGCACAGTACACATCAGGAAAGGGGTCTTCTGCGGTTGGGTTAACAGCGTCTGTTGCCCGTGATCCTGACACACGTCATCTTGTTCTACAAACCGGTATGTTAGCACGTTAATATTACAAAAAATGAAACAAAAAACGAAAGCAACTGAGATTTATATTTCAGGTGCACTTGTTTTGGCAGACAATGGAGTATGTTGTATAGACGAGTTTGATAAAATGAATGACAGTACGCGCTCAGTTTTGCATGAAGTAAGTTAAAGTAAGATATGTCAAACGGTAGTTTATTTTTGTGAGTGTAGGAAGAATTACATGGAATGGCATGTATTTTCTCTTTCTTTGCTTCCTATCTTACTGAACCGTTTTTGAGCTGAACTATTAGTTATTAGTTGTTAATTATTACATATTATTACTAGTTATTAATTGTAGAGGTTCAAGTCATCAGGTTATTATGGAAATTCTAAATGACATGATTTCGGAAGGTAGAGAAAGTGTGTAAATAAGTCGCAGAGATACAAACATCATAGATTGTTTTAAGAAGTTATTAAGTCGTTCATTAACATTGTCATTTTATGAAAATATATAGGATTCTGTAGGTAATGGAGCAGCAAACTCTTTCGATAGCCAAAGCTGGCATTATTTGCCAGTTAAACGCGCGAACTTCAATTTTGGCTGCAGCAAATCCCATAGACTCACAGTGGAACCGGAATAAGACTATCGTTGATAATATTAAACTGCCTCATACCTTGCTCTCCAGGTCAATATACCCTTTATACGTCTTTTTATAGAAATTTGCATGTTTGTTAAAACTTCATTTCTTTTGCTTGGTAATTCGAAAAGTTTCCAGATTTGATTTGATTTTTCTTTTGGTTGATTCCCAAAATGAATTGTATGATCGACGTCTAGCCAATCATTTGGTTTCATTGTACTACCGAGAAACCGACAATGATGGTACATTTGTAACCTTGAATTTACTGAGATTTGAATTTTCTAGATAAATAGGCCATGTAAATTTTATTCATTAGAAATCTAATGTATAAGAAAATTGGTTTTTTTATGAATATTTTGAAAAAAGACTGTATTGGATAATAGTTTGTATTGTTAAATGGATTATAATATGTGAAATTTTAAAAGCAATTGTATTGCATTTTACAGACTGTGAACTGCTGGATTTAGCTCTTTTACGTGATTACATCGGATATGCTCGATCTTATGTTAATCCAATGTTGGATGAAGCATCTTCGCGATGCCTTATTGATAAATATCTCCAAATGCGAAAAGCTGGATCTGGTTTTGGACAAGTAAAAATATTTCAATTTTCTTGCAGCACGCATCGTACACTGTCGACTCAATTCGGATTTTTTTAATATCATTTCTCATCTTAATAGATCAGTAAAAGACACATTTCCTTTACTGATCCATTAAGATGATGACATATTACAATTTATAGATTTCTGCTTATCCTCGACAACTCGAATCACTAATCCGTTTAGCTGAAGCTCATGCAAAGATAAAATTGAGTAGTATGGTATCAGTACAAGATGTTGAAGATGCATACAGGCGAGTAGGATTTCTTGAATTATTATAACCAGTTTAACGATATTTTTTTAAATGAAAGTGCCGTTTTTTTTACTTGTTATGTAACGTTTTTATTTGAGCTTTAAAAAGTGAGTTGTAGATTATTTTTGATTTGAAACGAATTCTTGGTTTTAGACTGAAGTCTGTGTTTTCGAAATTTAACTTTTCTTTTCAATTTTTATGTGTTTCAGTTTATATCGCGAAGCTCTCAAACAGTCAGCAGTAGATCCATCTACTGGTCGGGTTGATATCAACATTTTAGCTGCTGGAATCAGCGCAACAACTAAACAAATCATTGATCAACTGGCTGAAGCAATTCTTGGTGAACTTTCACAACGACATGGAATTTTGATTTCGCTAAAACAGTTAATGCAGCAATTGCGTCAAAATGACCTGGTAGATTTTAGAAATTCTTTGTAATTTTTTATAGTTTCTAAATATTCAGGCTTGAAGATAATTTTGTACAGTTTTAAACACCGAAAATCTTAAAAATTGATTTAAAATGATTGTACCGTATTTGTAAAGGGAAGTACGTTTCAAAATTTAGCAATTTATATGGATTTACAGTCAATTTGTAATTCAATCATTCAAATGATAGAAAATTACATTTGAAATGTTTAGATTTGTACTATGTCAATATTGCTTCACTTTTTAAGATCTACTAGCTTATTATTGTTTTTCAGTCCTTTACAAGAGAATTATTCGATGAGGCGGTCAACAACTTGATGAGAAACGAACTTTTGGTTCGAACTGGTGACAAAATACGATATGTTCCTGCAACCTGATATTCTATTCCTTTATTTTTTAAAAGCAGACAGAATAGACAACTTGGAATTATTCTTACGTTAATTGAATTGAAAATTTAAACATTTAAACTTTTTAATGGGGTCCCACATTTCTCTGTGTTCCTTTCTTCGGATAAACGTTTGCTGTTCAACCCTGCGTCAATCAAAATTAAGCAGCTTTTACATGATGCAGATGAATTCTTGTATTGAATATTGAACTGCATAATATGTCTTTGCATAAAGGAAATGTATTCGAATATCTTTGTAAGAACAGTTAGAAGATCTGACAATTGATTTTGGAAATTTAGTCCGTCGCGAGTGTTCCATTGATCAGTATTGAAGCAACAAAAGGACTGAGCAGCAATTGCATTGATTATATTGTCATGTTTGTACTTTATTTATCTATCTTTTTTTATTTGCATTTTAAATAATGCCAAAAGTTGGAACGCTTATGAATAAAATGTGCATCTATATTTTTTAAAATATTTTCTTTATAAATTGTCCGTTATTTGTGTGATTTAATTTTGGCATCCCAATTGTGTCTTATGTTTTATAAGTAGACAATTCTACTACTTGACACAATGTATTACAGCACTAAATATCATTTTCCATGAATTTCTAACGTTTTTTGGGGAGCAACCTTAGCATACTAGTACTGAAATTGAACTTAGTGGCATTTTTCGTAGCTGCTAAAACCACTACCAAACCTGAGTGCAGAGTTGTTCACGACTTCGTGCATATTTAGTATTGGTATTACAGCACCGTTTCCGAGATTTTAATAGGATCCTTGAATGAAGGAACTTTGCTTGGTAGTATTAAGAGAGGGAAATACTTTTACTAACACTTATAATTTGCTTTGAATTATAATTTTATCTTTGAAAATTCATTTAATACGTAGTGAAAATTGCTGAAATTTTGATTGAAGTCAGATTTTAGTTGTTGTATCAAACAATTTATTTTGGATTCAATGCAGCAAGACACAATTCGCATATTGCGATGCGCCTTAGGGTAATTGCAGCAATACCATTGCATTTCATTGATGTCTCATCCCCATCAATCTACAATTATTTGGAAGAAAATGCTAATTGCGACAATACAAACTGGTCCAACTCTGATTCAGAAACCCTGGCAACCATTTGACGACTTAATTTCCAATTTAAATGTTCATCTCTTCCTGTTCTAACCCTTTTTGTGTGCTCTTTTCCGTTTCGCGGTGGATCTTGGCCGCATTTATTATCTGTTCATTACAGCTATACTTCGGTTCTCTAGTAAAATTGGCTAATCTTGCATAGCAATAAATATGCTTGAATTATTTGTAGATGTGAGTAGGTGAAGAGATCCCTATTGCGAAAGCTATAAGGATTTATAAGTGAAGATGTGCGTATTTTCATTTGTGGCTAATTTCTCAGATATTTCATAAATTTGCCGAAGATCTAACATTTAGATATGTAGTAGTCAAATTAAAGTAATCCTTATTTCATGTAGTCATTGAGAAATTTATTTGAAAAAAAGAAAGAATGCTTCTTTGTAATGAGACACTTTTTTATTCGCTTTTCAGAAATTCTGAAGTGTATGGAGATTTCAGGTGAATGCAGCTATTTTGTGGTAACAGTTTGGAATTTTCATACAGTTGTCTCCTGCCGCTACTGTTGTTGTCGGTTGTGAAATCAGATCGAGAACATGTGGAGCATGGTTTCAGTGGGAGGTTTAAGAAGGAACACGATGCCGAAGGCGACCAGCATGACGTCCATGCTGATCATAAAGTTGTTATTGGTGCGTATACCCAGAATTTCATATTTTTCTGTGTTAATGCTGATTAAATATGCGTGGAATAACGCTTCGTTCATTGACAATTGTTATTCAATAAATTTATTATAGATAACCAAATTTATTTTTACTTTATGGTTTAGTTGAACTTTGTTCAGTTCTAAAAACTTATTCATTCTTCAGAGGATCAAAGTAATCAGGATGTCTCATACGCAGATGCAATATATAAGTGACCATTTTTGAATTCTTTGTAAAGTTTTTCTGGCATTGTAACATCTGTCATTTCCTTCTTCTAAATGCTTTAGTTTTTTTTTTTTGAACTGATAGATTTTGATCTCTTCCTTATTAGTTTAGGCTCTCGAAAAGAAGCCGAAATGTTTGATGATTTGAGTCCTGAAGAAGCAAAACGACGGTTGACAATTTTAGCTAAGAAAATGGATGGAGATAATGACGGATACGTGACTCGTGAAGAGCTAGAAAAAGTGATCAAAAAGTATGTGCTTCTCGATATATTAAAAATTTGTACGAAGAGTTTTAAAAAATTTTTTCGAAATAATTATTGCAAAGCTAGGCAGTTTTTTTTACCGATTATTTTCTGCTTTTATTTTTTGTAAACAACTAAATAAAGATAAAGGTGTAATATAATAGTAGATCTCTTCAAAGAAATTATTGTCTTCATAGTTTGTTTGAGGAACATGATTGCGCTGGATTTGGAGGAATCAAATGATCGATTCCGAGAAATGGATACAAATCAAGACAGTTTGATAACATGGGATGAATATGTGCAGGAATCATTTGGCGACATCGACCCGGAGAATGAGGTTAATCTGTTTTGCTAATTTTTGAAGATTTCTGCAAATTAAAAAAATCTCCGAGAGAGATTAATATTAAAAAAAATATTTTACATGCAAATAGAACGACTTCAAACTTTTCACTCTTTTGCAAATCTCGTTGCACAGATCATTTTTCTTAATATACAGCTGGATCTTTAAATCAGCAACCGATTTAAAAATGTTTTTATTTTTGCCGAAGTCTAAATGTGGATGTTGTGGATGTTTAGCCCCTAACCCATCATTTTGCATGTTAAAAAGAAAAGTGGGATTTTGCAGTGGAAGTAAGCTTATCTACAATTTAAAATATGTGTGGGAAAGAATACACAATAAATTTTAATTGTTTGAATACCTAAATTGTCCACTAGGAAATTGTTCATATTGTCATCATTATATTATGTTGCCTTATATACACAATCCAGTCATTCTTTTGCCTGTTATGGCTAGAATCTCTCGTTTAAGACAGTTCCCTGTAACTTTCATATTTTATTTCTTTGAGACCTATTGAAGGTTTACTTTTTATAACTATACCATTCAATTCGAACATGATAGCAACTCCACTGTTTCATTTGTCTGAGTTCATTTTCCAGGACTTTTAAAAGTTTGTTGCATTTCGCCTCCGAAGAAGCTACATTATCTGTGTGATCATTGAGGTAGAACAGATTTTTCTGCTTTAACATTTCTTTTCCAGAAATAATTTTTATGTTACTAAATACATCTTTACCTTCAGATCATAGATGCAGATGACAAACGTCTATTGGAGGATGATAGGAAATTTTTCTTCACAGCAGATCAGGATAAAGATGAGAAGTTATCGAATGCAGAATTTCATGCCTTCCAAAATCCTGAATCCTTCCCACATATGCATGCTGCTTTAATTGAGGTAATATTGTAGAATCTGAAACTTTCTTCAGAATTTCATGCACAAAACAATGCTTGCAAGGAGATCATACCATTGATACATGCGTTCCATCAAAGGATTGATAATGATGCCAATTTTAATATAATATGATTGGACAGCTTAGAAACATTTAAGAAATAATAATCCGTTAGCACGAATCATCGCGATATTGTTTTGAGATATGAAGTTTAAGGTCACTATGAAGGAGAAAGATAAGAACCAAGATGGAAAAATTACTTTGGATGAATTTCTGGATGATCTAGCGGGAGATCAGAAGTCAGACTGGTACACGGTGGAAAAGAATCGTTTTGAACAGGACTATGATAAAGATAGAAATGGAGTTCTCGAGGGCCCAGAAATTGCTTCTTGGCTTGTTATGAGTTTGGAAACAACTGCAGCTGAAGTTTATATCATTTTTCATCCATTCATTCAAATTTGGATTTTTGAATTTCGTTGGTTTTCATGAGTTTAAATGGCTTATCTAATCCGCTTTAGTGAAATATGGAATTTTGAATTTTTGATGAAGAAAGTAAGTTATTGTCCAAAATTAAATAATTTATTCGAAAGAAAAAAAATCATTTTCCTTTTACTTCAACATGTAGGTAACTTATGGTACTCAGATATGCTGATACTTATGTATGATTTCTCAGTTAATCTTGATTTATAAGCGTCAACATTTCGTATTCAGGAAGTAGAACATTTAATGTCGAAGGCAGACAAAGATAATGATGGACGCTTGTCTATCGATGAAATTGTTAGCGAATCGGATCTGTTCGTCGGTTCTGAAGCAACAAATCATGGCGAAAATTTGGTTAATCTATCACATGATGAGCTGTAATAGTGCTGGAGCAATAATAATTGTTGTCGCTTTTACTATACATTTACGTTCTGTTGAAGCGTTTGGCTCGCTGCCTAATAATTCCACCGCACTTTCCAGCATAACATGTTAATGAAATTTTAATCTAATTTGTGATACCAAATTTCATCTGATATTCCATTACTGTATGTGAAAATTCTAGCGACGAGTAGGATATCTAGCTGAACGATAATCACTCAAAAGACAGACAGAACCTAAATTTCAGGAGAAACTTATTTGCGTCCTATCTTTATCATGAAAAATGATGTTCTACGCTGTATTCCACCTCTTTTGTTTCGTGCAACTTTTAGATACTGTATTCGGCAGTTCAGATAAAATAGGTAGAAGCACATAAGTGGACATTTATTGTATATTTATTTTATTAGCAGATGCTTTAACCATGCCCAACATGCAAGCAAATTAATAATTTTATCATGCTCATATATTGTGAAACTTTACGACATATACATTTCTTTTGGTTGTGTATGTTGTAATACGTTTCAAAATAAGTCTAAGCATACAGAAAGTACGTCAAACTTGATCACCTCGTGTCAACTTAATTTTTTACTATATCAACTTAGTTTTTTAATTAAAAAATGAAAAGCTAAGGATTTGTTCGTAAATATTAAGTATGTATCACTCTGATTAACTCTAAGCAATATGTGTGCATATATTACATACATTAATAAAAGTGTCATATATATATCAAACTAGAAATAATGGAGGGGAAATGAGTGGTATATGAATTCAGAGGATGATAGAAGGATTAATAAAAGACCTTCAACTATTAATAAAATGTCCTAGAAAAATCGGGACATTACCCGTTAAAAATCGAGAAAGAGATTCATTTAGGTCACGGACCGTACAATACACTCTACAGCAGTACCATTCGTAGCAAGTTAAGTTTGAAAAAATATTATATTCTGAAAGGCAAAATGGATCGCATAAATGACATGAGAGCCCTTAAAAGCAAGGGAAATAAAACAGAGGTTCTAAAAAGACGAAAAATGAAAAAATTATAACATGGAGGTTTTCCAAATCTACTGGGCAGCTTGTTCGCAGTCGTACAGAGAGTTATGGCGCCATATTTAGTGAAAAGAAATGCCTAGTGCATGAGCGGAAACTAAATCAAATGAATTCAATGAGTATTAATCTCAGTTAACAGTGAGAGCAATATTTTGAAGACCGACAACTTCTGTTGACAAAGTAGGTCGAGGCCCCTCAATGCCTTTCATATTAATAGTATCTACAGATCTAATTAAAATCGTTCTCTCTTTCAAATGAATTTGAATGATTAATTCTGGTTCAATATATATATCATAGCAATTTATATGTTATTTAACTGAATTCAAGAAGACTGTCTATTGAGAAGTGAGATCAATCAACACCAGAAAAAATTTCCGAGTTTTCAACTGCCGTTGTCAACCGTTCCTTCATTTCATGAAAATTAGTATACGGTGGTAAGTCGATTCGGTTGAAACTGAAAAAATAGCAATTAATAGAAATAAGTAAGCCGATGAAAAATAAATTGAATTATGGTCCATAAAACCTGTGAAATTAGTAACAGTAGTGGTGGACTACTTCAGAATAGGAAAAATGCAAACGAACAGTAGCACACCAAGTGTGCGCCCGTGGCAGCATATCTGTACTACCCCAGCGTTCAATTGTAAATTTTTGAGGTCCATTTGCGCCATATAATTCGCGAAAACCGTTCATTGGAACACGAGAAGTACCAGTAACAAATTGCAATAACCTTGCACGCATTTCATTATTAAATGCAAGCAAGCACTTCCAGAAATTTTGAATTACCTAAAATCTCATAAATGCATTTGGACAGTAAAATATCTAAAACATGCTAGAACTATAACGAAAATTCGAGTATTTTTAGATGAAAGACTTTAGTTTTATCACAATATGCATAATTCATACTTTTTTGGGAAACTTCTATGCATTGAAAATTCATTTCTTAAAATTATGAAAAAATCACCGGATGACTTGGAGAGTAGCCACCTTTGTATAGAGTATTGTCTTTCCAGTCTTTAACGTCAATTTTTTGTAAGCCACATAATAGTAATTCAAGCTCATTTGGATCAAAAATTGATAGCAAATTTGGTGGTATCACTTCATGAACTCCCTTCATCAATGCTTTCATTTGTTCTTCAACACGACTAACAAAGCGCCATTTAATAATTAAGTCAATATACTCGTCCTTATTTGCATCTGTTACTTTTTCCTCCGCTCCTCCATCTCGAAGTTCCACACTATTCATCTGAAACTTTTTTCATTTATCCTTGATTAATTCTGAAATACAAACATTTGAAACATTTAATGCAAAAAGTTTGAAATCATGAGAATGAATACAAAGAATAAAATTTCTTGGACTATTATTTTCATAAAATAATTGTAAAAATAAGCTGTTTTGGACCACACTTTACAAACATCACCTAAAAAAGCATCTATTTTAATACTGAAACATGAAGCAAATACCTGTCCAAAAACATCCTCGTCCACTGCAAAATGCAGGTCTAAATCTTCCGGATTATTATCTTTGATGTAGATTAAGGAATTGAAATATTCATTATCCACAGACTCCATATCATTCAGCGTGATTGGCTTACCCAACATCATCTTATAAAATGGTCGAATAAAAAATGCTGCAAAAAATTGCAGTGAAAAAAATACTTTAACAAAAATTTTTGCAAACACTCGAAAGATGAAAGAGCAATAAATCCATTATAATACGTAATAATTTACACATTTTTTTCATAAGATATAAAATCAATTACCACAGTAAATTAATTATAGTAGAAAAATTACCATCAAGTAATTTCCCGTGGTAAATAGCAATACCAATGACACGACCAATGAAGTGAAAATAAGATAAGTGTTCTGGGTTACAAGTTTCCGAATGTGGATTTATTTGTAAAGTATAATTATCCCTGAAGTAAAAATGAACCAGTTATTTTTCCTTTCATATACAAGTGCTGCAATCTGTGAAACTCAAGCATATATGTTCATTTTGACAGGCCTTACGTGAATTTTAGAAATTATTCACAAAAGCTGCATTTTAAGAAATAGTATGACATACGTTGCTGAATATTCGAAAAGACCATAATAGGGACTGAAAATATTATGCGAAAGTAAATAAAACCATTCGCGCGCTACACCGCCATAATCTAAACCTGTTTCATTCTCAAATTCAATCCAGAGTTTGGCACGCAAAAGATTAGGTGATAATTGCATTATCTGCCTGAAATAGAAACATTGTTAAGAATGAAGTTAAAAATTCCAAAAAGCCAAATTAACATCTCAAGCTTCTTATTCTAAATAATCTCCTTGCTTGATAATATTTTCTAACAGGATATTTCCTTTTTCAAAAATAAAGAAAAATGAAGGACTGCAAATAATTTAGAATAGTGACTGGTGCAGAAGATTTTACTTGTGTTCTTTTCGATCCTTGTTTAATACTTTGAAGGTAACAATCAATTACTGAAATTATTAAAACTATCTAAAAGAAATGCTTACTAGTTATCCAGTTTTTTGATGAATCAAACCAGATGTCTGACAAGATATAAAAAAAGAAACCTATTTCTGGCTTTTTCAACTACACGAATCATTAAAGAAAAATGATACCTATATGAATCTTCAAATAGCTGAATCCGCCGTACTGTAATTTCACATTTGATGTTGGTAGGTGATTTCGGAAGATGTGACCTCAGATATTCGTATTTACATTTATAATCGCGCGAATATGGAACAGCTGGACCGGCGATATTCGTATTATCAAATCTTGGATCTTCCCACTGTGTTCGGCGAGTGTTGTGATCAATGTAAAATATTCTACCATCAGCATGAAAACGCTTCTCCCAACCAGCGGGCAATTCGCCCAGTTCATCACTTCGTACTTCTATAAATATGAATTCACACCAAATTCTTTACCTTGTGCTAAAAATTACCATTTTTAGATCTTGTCATATTTGTCTGTTTTACTTAAATTCCTCCTGCAAAGAAAAAATTCGAGAAGCATAAGCAATATCATTTTTTTCTTCCTTAACTTTTAAATAAGAATTAGCTGAAGCCTGGCCATCTCTCGGATCAATCCAAGTTGTTGTCTTGTGTATATGATCAATGAAAAATGTCCGTCCATTTGGCGCCACTTGCATATCCCAACCCTGCGGTAGTAGCCCACGACCATCATTTGGATCAATACGACCACCAGATTCAAATTTTGTCCGTAAACCAGCTTCTAACTGAATTAAGCTTGAAATTTAAAAATAAGAGTGAGAAAATCTTCATAATTTGAAAACTAATAATCAATAGTGCAAAAAAGGGAAAAATTGACTGAGATCAAAGAACATTATCTGGAGCAAAATCTATTTCTCAAAAAGTCAAAATTAGCATCCATTGTACTGGTTTGCACTGCAAAATTGTGTCTAAACAACTAAAACTCAAAAAAAAACCACCACTGAAAATGAGAACATCGCGCATATCAAGTTAACTACTAACATTAGCAATACTGTCCTCAACATGTTCTTCACTAGAACCTTGCCAACGACTTTCGTAATTTCTACGCAAAGCGTCCTCTTGTTCTGTTTCATCCAACTCGGATTCAATGCCACTTCTGAAATCAAATTTGTCATTTACTTCATTAATTTCATCAAAATATAAAAACTCAGAAACACCACTCCCTCGAATACAATAAGCATTAAAAAAACAGAAGCAGAAGTTACCTCGTAGGTCGCATCCATTGTGTTGTTCTCGATATATGATTTACGTAAAATGTTCTACCATTTGCATCTTGTCGTTCTTCCCAACCTGCAACATGTTTCTTTTCGTATTAAAATTAAACTTTAATATTCCCACTTTTTTAGAACAAGAATATTAAAGTTTAACTTCAATATGATTGTAAAATTTGACAAAATATCTGCTTCGGTTATGCTGTAAATATTACCTTCAGGTAAAGAAGTTGGACCCTGTCGACTTGTTAAACTGTTACTACTCAACTGCTCCCAATCGCCGTCATCATGGGTAGAGTTCTGCTCCGTAGCTGGCCGTATGGAATCAGTGACATATGAAAGTGAAAGACGTACGCTACCCTGAACTGAAGAATAAAAGCGATGTGAACGAGCAGTCAAAATATATGACGCTTCTGGAATTGGTATTCCAATCAGTTCATGTGGGATACGTACTTGTGCTAAGTCAATTTCCACCATTCCAAGAAAATCATCGCGTGTCTGCAAAAATAAAAAGTTTGATTGAGAAATTTTTAAGCATTACGATAAAAAACTATTGATTGTTGACAAAAAAATTTAATCTTTTAATAAATGGAATCAGTAATTATGCGAGCTTCTTTATAAATGGCACTATTTCTAGTTCATTCCACAGAGTTATTAACTCAAGAACGCACCAGTTCACTATCAACTTTATTAAAACTTGTGTATTTATTACAGCTCATTTATATAACGAGAAAACATTTAATATTACTCTTGATTTGGATCTTAGACAAACTGAATTCTAGAACCACCGTTTCAAAATACTGATTTCGAAAAATAGCTCACTATGAAGTCCATACAGTAAAGAATAAAATAAGCATCAAAAAAATTCAATTAGTGCACAAAACTATATCGGAAAATATTGAAAGTGCAAAACAAAACTTACAATGCGTCTTTCATCAAAAATCTGCACTGCTAATATGCAATCTCTACGTACTACACGAAATACAAATTCTTCATTCCATACCGGTTCACGGGTCTAAATATGGATGAAAAGTTACTTGATTTCGTTCATGTTGTGTGACTTAATCTTGGATATGAATTTAAAATTTTGCAGAGGTCTTTACACGCACAAAACAGCGCACTGATACAGTATACAGATTTGGCATTTTTTGTTGCCAATAACGGATTCAAAATAAGTCCTCCTTTTGCTGTTAATTTTTTCCGAACTGCAACGGAAGTAGAAAAGCAAGGGTAATAGTATAATGCAAGTAACTACCCAATTTACAACCAAATCTAATTTCTATAAACAATAGCTGATGAAATAAGCGGTAAGAACTAACAAGTATTTACATCCTTTTTTTATCATTTTCTTCCTTCTATTTTAGATTTTTGCTAATTCTCTTCGGCTTCCTGCTTTTTTCTTCCTTCACATTCTCCGCCTGCTATAATCAGGACGAACTGTATAAATTTGGCAAAAAATGAGTGCACAAAAGCAAATATACCTTTCGGCGTGTTTTGGTTTGCGCTTTGTCCACTGCAACGCTACTTCCTTCACGTTTTAGCAAAATCACTGCATATGGATCGCAAACACCGAATATATCTCTTTTTGACAGACGTTCCGCCTTAACAACTCTGATACGAAGAAGTTCGGTATCCTAAAATATTAGTGTGAGAATTTCACATCTCCAAACTACAGAATAAACTCAAATTTTCAGTAAATCCTTAGATCAACAATTTGAATACTACGTGAATTAATCAGAACAGCTTGAAGATTACCAATATATTAGATAAACAGTGTAGAGGCAGTTTGTCTTATTAAAACTCCATTAATGCAGCTTTGATAAGACAGCACAATTCTAACATATCAAAGAGAATGATTTCAAGACTGTAAAATCTCAACCAACTAAAAAATGTCTCAAATATATTATGAATATAAGTGGAGAGAAATATTTGACCTCTTCAGTTTCAGGCAAGCCATAAACTTGACCTCCCACCGCTTCACTTGGTGACATTCACTTGCTTTCTAAAAAAATTTATTCAATTTTGGTGGAATTTTATTAAAAGAAATTAGACGATCTTTTAAATTTGTCTGTCTACGTTTCTCAGCTTTCAACAAAATTTCCATTCTTATCAGTGCTGTTAAAACTTATATCCCTTGCAGACTGACCGAACTTCTTTATCTGCCACTGGATCGATTAACTAATATTTGTCACAAAAAAGAACGTCAACAATCGATGCATTTGAACCGGTAAACGAACGAACTTCTTAAGGACGGTCATTTTCACTGCGCCCAATGAAATCGGTGTGGGTTAGGACGATAGATGGAATGGCGGTGGAGCTCGGCTAAAAATTTTTGAAGAGAGAACAGGCTGGCGTGATTGATGACTTACCAAATAACCAAATAAATGGCTAAGGAGGGAGAGAGACAAATGATATGGCTGTTATGATGGCATTTAAAAAAAGTAAGTTATTTGATGTGTCAATCTTATGTTGTTTTTTCGTGAAACTTTTCTTAGAGAAGTCTTCTCCTCCATCAACCTTTCCTTCAACCCATTTCTTTTAACATTTGAAATAGAAACATTCTTTGATCCCCACGTTGTGGATTACTTTTTACATGTGTTTATTCACAAAAAATGAAAGATGAACAAATTTGAAGGAGTTGTCAGAATGTACGAATGGCTGCTTGATATGTCAATATTCGTTGGATTTTATTTCATTGCCGCTTATTGCATTGTAGTGGAATTTTATTTGGATCGGATTCATCGCTACAACGGATCATCGCGAATGGAATATTTACTTAAAACTATAAAAAAAAGCAAATTCATTAATACTTCGAGTAGAAAATTAATTGCCTTAATAACCGGAGCGAATGGAACGATTGGCACCGAAATAACCCGTTTATTGCTACAACATAATTTTAAGGTATTTTTATGATTCTTGAATTTAATCATGTTTTGTACATTGCACCTCGGCACATTTACTTCATATTTTGGCATTCCATTTTTCAATTGGACATTGACGTAAGCAATTTTTCTAGTAAATTCATAGCTAAACAAATGGGCTAACTTTGTGCACGAAACACTTCTGATTGTTTTCTTGCAGGTTGTGTGTTTAATTCGAAATAGTGATGACGATTGGCTGGACAGTGTTAAATACCAGCCGGATTTAGTGATGCAATATGTGGATTTATCCGATCTTCGAAAGGTGAAGGAAATGGCGAAGTCAATCGCAAACGAATATCCTCACATTGATCTCATTATGTGCTGCGCTGGTATTATGCTGCAGCCATTCAAGCTCACAATAGACGGCTTTGAAACGCACTGCGCTGTTAATCTTCTTTCCCATGTCATAATGGTTGATTGCTTACTGCCATCCATAACTAAATATTCCGCAGGAGAAAGCTGTATCCGAGATAGTCGCATTGTGTTCTTATCTTCCGCCACCGCACATCTAGGAGTTTTCCATTCCACGCTTGAGGATAATTCCCAAATATTTTATACCTATCGGAATGGTTATCAGGCTTATTCAACATCGAAATTTATCCTGTCTCTATATGTCGAAGAAATGGACAAGCAAATGCAGCAGAAGTCTACAGTGGTAAACCAACGGACGGTAACTGCCATTTCCATACATCCCGGTTGCGTTGCAAGTGGTTTATATGAGTATGCAAATACTTTTATCAAAACTCTGATTTCCCGATTTCTGTGGCCTATAATGAGAAATCCAGCTTTAGCTGCAGCCGAAATAGTAGCCCTCGGATGTGCTGATAATTTGAGAGGTGGGTGGTACTATCAACACATGAAACCGACTAGAATTCTATGCAGCGTAGCAAAAAAGCAACAACTATATCAACATGTAAGAAACACCATAACAAGCATGGAAGAAATAAAGAATTAATGCATAACAAAAATCACTGAGAGTCAAGAAATTCTTTCTACAAAAATCAGTGTTACTTTATTTCCGTCCTAAATGGTATCGACAGCGTTTATGCTCACATATCGAAATCTACAAGCATGATTTACGCAAGGGTTAGTGTTGAAATTATTTATTAACTCTTATGAGTTCTTCTTCTAGTTGAAAGATTTAAAGTGTTCGTTTACATCTGATTATTTAAAAATGAGACTCAGCTGCAATAGATATCAAAATAAATTATATAACCGAAAATAAAATATGACCGATGTTTTAATTTTAAATTTAAATCCAAAAGAAAATGGAACTAATCTTTTAAAAGATTCCTTTGTTAACAGTAAAACTCAAAGAAAGAAATAAAATCACGAGATCGAATATGGTGGAGCTAATTTCAGAGCCGGTCTAAACCGTAATTAGTTTTGTTTGAATGATGATTTTAACATGCAAACAGTTGGATACAGGACAGTAGAACGATGGAATCCTCTCAAAACAATGAAGTTATTTTGCTCTAATCCCTATTATGAAATAAAGAGATCAAATGCGCTGGTATTCACAATTTTTTATACAATTTAGTTAATCGCTATCAGAATCAACTATCAGTTTTTGACGTTTTCGTTTTGAGTTTTTGCTTTCGTCCTGAAAAGATTTGTATATAACAATGAGGAAATACGTTTCCTTTATATTTTTGATCCACTGCTTCTTTAGCTTCTAGATGTAATTAATAATGTTTGTTTTTAAGACTACTTATTTATGATCTTAACATTGAGATCCATAATTTGAAACTAAAATTTTGTTAAATTCATTTTGGAAAAAACCCTGAATGTGTTGGCTTTCTTAGACTAAACATAAGAGTATCGTTTTTTTTTATTTTCTTAAACTTTCTTAGACTAAACACGTAAGCCTAGTCAATTAAAATGCCTGAAATGCGATCTTAACATGGGAAGCTATGATTCTAATCTGAAATCAAGTTTTCGTAACTTCTATTTAATAAAATTGTTTTTTTGCTAAAATGTCTTTTTGATACTCATACGCTATTCTTGAACAATTAGTCTTGCGAAATGGCAGTTTAGCGTTTTAAAATATTTGATCAGGTCATAGTGCTCATACCACTGGGACTTATTAAACAAATTCAAAACAGCTATTTCCTGCAGCTATTGATGGTTTCAGAGTACTAAAAAGATCCTCCGATACAAATGCAGCAAACTCTAAATATTGCTACTTGAAGACTAATACTAAGGCCGAGACGAAATCTTAATATCCAGCAAATAATTATATAACGAGTTAGTGTAAAGGAGAATATTTTGAGAATGGCACCAATTCTCATGAAAAGGCCTGACATAGTTTCTCACAAAACAAAATAAGAGTAACATACGTCGCTCACATCGGTTATCTTTTTCGACGTTTTGGTTCTTCTCAAAGAACGAGCAGTTTGTGCATTATCATCACTCAGTATCTCCATCACAGCAAACAGTTCGCTATAGCGTATTCGAAGAGATGACACCTAACAAAATTTAAATAACTCAATCATAAGGATTTTACAATTAATTTTAGATGGGCTGAATTCCAGTCATAAAGCAATCATGATAATAAAACGAGCTAATTCCAGATGTAAAAATGTCCTTAACGCGTGTAACATCTGGTTTCACTAAGTTCTACTCTTATCAACTAAAGCAGACTAACTTTAGAAGTTTTTGGCAAATTTCAAAGTTTTCGGACCAAATCACAGGAAGGTAAAATGACATTTGAACTTTAATCCATATTATTTTTCACATCTTCATTTTAAAATCATTTTAGAATAACAGAAATACTAACTTTTTCAGCCGCCCTTGCTGCCGTAAATGCTTCCTGTAAAGTGGGGCGAGCCAAGAACGCTTCCGCCACATGACTGTCCTTCGACAAACAGCTTTGTCGAAATTTGTCAAGATGTGAAAAAAGCTGATCCAAACAAACATATCTAGAATAGTCCGTTTATAATGTTTTATAAGTTATCCTCTTCTGCCTCACAGTTATCTGCTTTTGACTTTAATAATTCTGCTTTCAGTATCATAAGGATAGTAAGATTGTAGAAGTTAATGTCTAGACTGATTTCGTCTAGATTCTGAAGATGGCACACATTATTTTCAATTTCGGTCACTGTCAGGAAATCATTAATTTTGTATCTTTTTCACTAAATCATTATTTGGAAAAAAAGCTTTTGTATTCCTGAACTACCTTTGCGCTGGACGCTTCCCTTTTGAATGAATTGGAAGAAGATCACCGGACTGAATCAATTTGTCAATGAGATTAGAAAGCAATTCTGCTACTCGAGCTGCATAATCTGGATCCTTAATAAGCAGTTTCAGACAATTTACAGTAAACATATCGGATGGTGTCCGAGATAAAAGATTTCGTATGAGACCCATATTCGGTTCGCGATCCATCCTAAATCATATAATCATAGTTATATAAATATTTTTAATGTTCATACGTTCAAAATAACACTGTAAAATTACTCACAGCTTACTTACCAAATTATCTTACGAAACAAACTATTTAGTGCATAATTACTTTTCATGTAACTTTAAAAAAATGTTAAGCTTGATATGTTAATATACACAATGTTCTGACTATATGAGGATTAAGTTATATAAGTTAACGTTGACCTAAATTTGAGGGATTTATTAAGTGAGCAGTTCTTAACCTTATAAAATGAATGTCAGGACATTTCTATCGCAATGTAAATATAGACTTAAGAGGAATGTATTTATAAAGAACCTTTGGAGCATGATGTAAACTTGCGCAATTGCTTCCGAATGTTTTGGATATTGTAGTTTAGAAATCATTTGTAAAATCCAATCTACGGGAACGCCTTCTGCGTGTACTAACTGCCAGAACACAAATTGAGCGGTTGTTTCCCATGTCAACGAAGCACTAAGGATAGACAAAAAAGAGTCTTTTCTGAAATTAATTTATTAAAGAACTCAGATATGCAATACATAATGAGCACGTCCAAAAAACTCGATATAGATGATTTAATTTTTTGAACAAAGATACTTTTTTAAAAAATTAAGTAGAAAGTTAAAGCGATTAGGAAAAAACTTTTTCAACAAACCTAAAAAATGAGATATTTTCCCGAACCATTTCACCAATAAGATCGGCAATCTGCCGTCCGTCTAATGAATGAGCTAGCAATTTCATTAATTCAACACTACCCATTGCTTCCGTTGCAAATTTTTCATATACATATGGAATGAGATGTGCGAACAATACATAGTCATCGATGTGACATTGCTTAAAGTATATTGTTAGGAATATCATTTAACTATCATCCTTTAACCATTTTAAAATCTTCCAAAGGTAAACAACTGCCTGTCCTTAACTTATGTATATTTAGTGACCGAATTATGTAAAAATCAAAAGTTTAAGTCTTGGAAAAACCTGCAAGTCTGAAACAATTTGCTGAATTAGTGAACTGTCTAACAGCCGACATAGATCAGTATAAGCAGCAATTGCAGTATCATTTTGATCACGACGATTTGAGGATGTGAAAAATAACAACAAATATGATATGGATGAGCACCTGTAAAAACATTTCATAAATTACTTTCTATAAATTAAAACTCCCAGTGAAACAAAAAAAAAACATTTCCTCTTTTTCCTATTAATAGAAAAAAAATCAAACTTTGGTATTCTTATCTTCCTTGGTAAGATGAAGTATTAATTAAGAACGATGATGTAGCTCAAAGCTTGATTTTACATTCTAACGTTGCGGTGTATATTTCAGAAACATTTGTTAAAAATATTCAGTATACCAGGACAAGTATTAGTTATAGTTTTAAAAAAATGAGGCTTTTATGAACCAATAAAAATCAAAAACATAACTTTCACACATTTCAGCAATTAGAGATAACAGTAGTTGTCTCGTAGCATCACTATCTGGTGTAAGACAAAGATTTCGAAATATTACATATAGCGGCTGATTAAACATTTCTTCCAGAACTCTAAAATTTGGACAAAGATTTGAAAATCACGAATTTTATACAAATTATCTTTAAATTTAAAATTCATAAAATTTCGAAAATAAGCATAGCAAAATTTATTTGAAATGAAAATTACTCAGGTGTATCCAAAAAACCTTCCAACAATGGTTTTCTATTTCGGATATCTTTTTTGAAAATAAGCAGGAGACATTCTGATAATAATTCAATCTGTTCTTCATCTAGTAATTCATCCTGAAATATTAAATTTCAATTTTATCGCGAGTAAGAAAAAAATAAAAATAAACGTCAAATCCCGGGCAGGAAAAATAAAAAAGGGAGAAGTAGAATGTAAGAAAGAGAAGAGAACAACGTATAACATATGTCAACATGCTACAACACTTCTCTGAGATTTTTGTATATTTTTACTTCCCATCTATTTGTTAAAGTGTGACTGGATAAATGATTTAAAAGTTAAAACTCACATTATCAAAAATAGAAGATAACAACTTTTGCATCATTTCACATCGCATATCATTGTCTGAATTTTTCACATTTGATAGATTTTCGATCGGCTCTCGAAATTCCTCCTTGACAGCAGCTAAGAGTGTTATTACTTTTTCTTCACATGATAAACCATATTCTTCATCAACGGATCCGCTGTCTTCGACTACCGATGAGTCCATGCTAACTACATCTTCCGTAACTGCTGAACCAGTTTCGCTCGGCACTAATTCTACGTCAGATATTGGTACCTCAATAAGTTCTGAAATGCTTTTTTGTTTCATCCCATTCCCACCAACAGAAAATCAACCAACAGATATCAAACGGTTCAAAACTGAGCACGCTATTGAATAAATAAGTAATTTTATGCCATAATTAATGATAATGATATACTTTTATCTATTCTTTCCTACTATTTTTCAATATGTTAGCAATGTGACAGCCATTCAAAACTTAAAGATCAAGTCTGACAATTTCATAATTGGCTTATTTAACTTACTGAGCTTTGGGAATGGAAACTGTCAAAATTGGACAATAATGGCATGGACAATAATGATTACTATGATTTTACCTATTCCCGCAGCGGGAGAATGTGTTTGTATTACTTGCGGTGGTCGAAAAAGTCCTCGAAATGTATCCCGAAAATTTTCTCGCACATTTTTTTGCAGCACTGGATTATCAAATATTACAGAAGGAGATCTGGAAAAGTCAAAAACTTGTAGGAAAACAGCAGGAGTCTGACAACAATGTGTAAATATCAATTCAGCTCCGATCTGATTTTTATTTAAAATAAGAGAAGAACAAAGAGACTGTACTATACAGATTTAGCGAAGGGCAGGGAAGTTAAATGTAGAATAACAACAAGATGAGAATTAAAAGGAAGAAAAAAATAAATGTGGAGTATACATACGCAATAAACTAACCCTAAAATATTGTGATCAATCAG